GAGGTAAAATTCCACTTACAACTACATTTCTTACACAATAACATCCTTAAAATATTCGAAACAACTTGACATTTCAGAATATATTTAGCTATTTTTTTTTTAAATTCAATTTTAGTAGCATATGGTCTCTGATTCATACGCATGATGAATATACTGGTCAATACGCAAAATTCTGCCACTTCTCCATGACGAATATATTCTGGCAAATATAATTTAATGGAAACTCTGAGGTTTTTAGATTATAACGTAAATTTTAACTATTACAATGATTAGAACATTTTTATCTTCCACATTTGGATGGAGAGCTTATATACATATGTATCAGATAAATAGATGAAAAACTAATAAAATCGTTCTATACCAAACAAACAAAATATGATATTGAGGAAAGATCAGTATAATAACAACGATATTTATTTTCAAGAAGCCAATGATCAGGGAATTAAAGCTGATATCTAGTAAAAAAAACTGATCGAAAACAAGGAAGGACGCAGGAAACAGTTTTATAATATGGCATTGCAGACTTTATATTATTATAATAAGCAAAAAGAACATAAAGAAAGCTGTGTATTTATGAGAAATGTTATTTTCTGATTTTATAAAAAATGCTATTAAAAGTCTTAGTAACCGATTCTGACCTAAAATAGACCAATGTTATGAAAAGGCTATGTTATGTAGCAGTTCTTATATAAAGTGGTACGAAAAACAGTCAAAACCCTATGTGGTTCCTGTACAGTCAGGAGTCCTAGATAGAAAATCCACCCTAGAAAACGCACAAATGTAAAAAAAACGATATTATCAAACTGGATCTTTGAGATATGGCTTGATAACATATTAGTGAAGTTGCATTTTATGTGTAAAATGCCTAATCACACACCAATTACCTACATAGCATTTTGACAGTTTTTAGTAAGATTTTGTATAAAAACTGAAACGTAACATAGCCTTGCCATAACATTGGTCTATTTTACAGCAGAATCGCCTCTTGAATGAAATTATACACAAAATCGCAGTTCATGTGATCATTGATTTCTTGTATCATGTTCCCGGTTCCTCATTTCGCTTCTGTATAAAACGTGCAGAGAACTTTAATCATGTCGTGTGAGCACGCAGTTCCAATCGATAAAAATCGAATAAAAATGATAATCAAATGCATCACGAATATCAGCGATAAGAAATCGCAATAAAACATTTCGAATAATTGAGAACCAAGAAAAAAATGAAATTAATATAAGAGTACTATACACTGCCTGTATATGGTCTTACTGTACCTTAAGAGTAGCACGCATCAGTTCGCGTGCCTGTAGGTGCTCATGATCGGAAATAAATAAATTTTTTATTTATCGATAATTTTAAAAACACACAATCGTTAAATAAATTACCTTTCACCGATTTATAAACGGGTTATAAATAATGCTGACATGACTGTGCGTATTGCATACTGAAATGATCACACAACATTTTGGTACATAATTAATTCTGCATCTTAAGAATTTAAGATATTGATGCCAAATGGTAATCGAGTATTGGTATTTGCAAAGTTCTTTGTATTCATTTAAAAAAATATTTTTTTCATTTTTATTTTGATAATTATAGATAATATATGATAAAATGTAAACAATTTGAAATATATTTGGTATAGATTTTGACAATAAATGGACTCAATAAAATTTAAAATTCAAGTTAAATTTTTAAACTAGCCCTCTTAAATTTTGAAGTAAGTTTTGAAATATGTTCATATTTGGCGGTTCATCAATTTTATACTAATTTTTGGTATAACATATGTACAAATTACTAATATACTTTGTTTCTATTAAATTTTTTATAAAGATTATTAATATTAGAATAATTTAGGGCAAACAGTTTATTTATACTGAATTTTTCAAATTGTCACTTTTCTGCAATTAGTGCAATTTTATATATTAATAATAATTGATCAAATTCAATTGTTACTAGTTTGTTACTAATTGTTATTTGTTATAACATACTAGTTATAAAACACATTAGAAAAAAATAGTTTGCTAACGCCAAATTTTCAAAGTTGTCAGTATTATTCTAAATTTATAACCAGATCTTTCTCAATGGACCGCATAGGGCTAAAGAATCAAGTCGTTACAAAAACTATATTCTATGTTTTTTTAAATTAAAACTTCGAACTGAAGTCTAAACTGCCAGAAAACAAACTTGCATAAAATTATTTAGATAAATCTGATTGCAAATCAAAAGAAATAATAATGATAATCGAGTTGTAATTTTAATTTTTTGTACCTACTACGTTTTATATCAACATATAATATTACCAAAGTAGCGTTATTATGCAAATATATAAGGAGTTTGATTTCAATAAATTACTTATTATCAATTATAAAAAAATAATAATTGTTTTTAAATTTTTGCATATCTAATACGGTTCCTTGCAATCGCGTTTTTGCACATGTTATTTTTATGTCATATATTTAGGAGTATTCAATTATATTTTTTAACAATATGACCCGAAAATTTGAAGCTAATAAATTTGATTTCAGAATAAATTTTTATTTACTGGCATTTTACTTTAATAAACACTGGATACACAGGAAAAATAATTTTTTTGTATTAAGTAAAATTGCTTAATTTTGTATTAAATAAAATCGCTTTGAAATGAAATCATATTAAGTACTTCAAAATAGTTTGTTCTAGAAGAATGGTATATATCAAATAATTAATTTTGTAGAATCATTACAATCGCAAGCCAAGTTCATGGATTTAGTTTTAAATAACCATTGTAAAAATACTTTGTTATGGTTGAATAAGAAAATTGGAATTTTATGCCGAATGATGCATGTATGCATATAAATTTGTGAACATCACTTAATAAATCTTTGATAATATTTAAATTACATTTATTCTAAATAATGTATATAAATAATTTATATTTATCTACTTATCATGCAAATTAATATAACAAATTATAGAATATAAGAAAAATGATTAATGATTAACAAAACCATGCAATCCACTTACTTATTTAGGCGTAGGTTTTTTACTATCAACTGCATCACATAAGTCTTTTATTTCTTCTTTTTTTATATAAATATCATTCAGTAAAATTCTCAATTTATTTGCTTTACAAGGATATCCACAGTCTGGTTTCGTTAATTCAACGATGCCTGACTTCGAGTCTTCAGAATAATACATCTAAAAATATTTATATGATATAATAAATTAGTGTACAGTGATTATATGCTTAATTATTTGCAATAAATTATGTTAATAAAGTTTGTTATAAACATATTTTTTTTATAATAACTCAATTATTCCAAAATAAAAATATTAACAAATAAATTAAAGTAGATGGACAGAAGATATTTATATTACTAAAAATGCCGTTAAAGCCAAATAAATAATTATAAAAATTAATAAACACATAATTTGGTTAGTAGATCTTTAATAATCTTTAGTGATATAAATCAAATTTTATAGAATGTTTACTCACTTTTAAAAAGAAATCATTTGTTTCTTTTATGTGATATATTTCAAATATAGTCAATCCTCCATGTTTAGGATAAAAGGATTTCATAGTTCTTTTACTTGGATTTTCTTTTATTTCAAAACCATTTTCACCACCAAAAGCTGCAAATATTGGTGCGACAATTGCACCATTTCCAACATATAAAAACATTCTCGTGTTACAAGGTTGTAACTTTTTATCCTTCATCAAATTAATTGTATCGAACATATGTTTTACGTGTAAACCTATAAAATAATTTAAATAACACATTTTACTGATTATAATTAATTAGTATTACAAGCTAATAAAAAACTAATTAAATTTTTTAATGAAATTTTAAATCCACTAAAAATCAATGTCATCAATTTTGGTAAATGTTATGATCAAATATCAAACTAAACTAACTTTATAATAATTTATATTTCTAAAATTGGTTTTGTTTTGTTATTAGTCAATTGAATTTAAAGCAGATCATCAGAAGCATGTAAAATATTCAATTATTTTCGGAAAATAATATTAATCGTATACTTACGTCTAAGGTGTATGAAAAATACTATCTTATCGTATATAATATATATGCATTTTACATATAAATTTAAATGAACACTATTTAGCCATAAAAATATTTAAGTAATATATTGTCTATTCCTATTGTATATAAGACTTTAATAATAATTTGTAAAAACTGTTGCAAGATTATAGGATTATTGCAAAGTTGAGAGATAAGTTTTATATTTTATTTGAAAAAAAAAATCTGATTCAATCAATCAAGTATAAACTTTTGAGTCATTTATTTACGAAAATCCTGTCTCTCACAAATTAATTACAAATTGTCAAAAATAAAGTATAAAATATGATGAATTTAAAAAATACCTTGTATTATGATAAGTTTCCGAATAAAAAATGTATTATAAAATTAATATTTCTCACCTCCAGCCATAGATTTTAAGGCATTTGTTGCAAAAGCTGCCTCAACATAATCATTCATTAATTCTTTGAATTGAGAATATATTTCATCTGTTAACCAATCTGGTCGTTTTATATTACTTATTTCCTATAAAAGAATAAAAGAAATTTGTATAAAAAATGCGTTAAAACAAAAAAAATTGGAGCAATAAGAATAAAAAATTATCAAATCAAATCACAATTGAATATACCTTTTTTTCTAATTTAAAAAAGAGATAATAAAAAAAATATTCAGAACGAGCGAATTATTGCCAAAATATAAAATTAGGTAAATAATTTTAGAAATACATAATAAAATATTCAACAAATTAAAAATAACGCAAATAAAATTACATCAGGTTAAAATATTTAATCATGAATTTAATAATTAAAATTTAATTACCTAACAATTCAAATTGTACCTAATATTTTTATTAAATAGGAGTAAAGTTTGGATTAGAAGCAATAGCTTGGTAAACCATATCTTAACTTTTAAACTTTAGAAAATTATTTTTTCATGAACCTACTTCATTATAATACAACTCGTACAATGAAAACAATTCATTCAACTTGTTTGGTTGTAGTTCTAATTTAGTATTTCTTCTAAACACGTCCATCAATTCCTTATATTTTCCTAGTACCTTTTCTCTTAGTTCTCGTTGTAGTATTTTGTTTTGTTCTTCCAAATATTTATCGCAATTGTAATAATAGTAACTAGCCTAAAATTATTATAAATTTAATTAATAAATATTTTAAATTTTTAATTGATTTATAGTTACCCACTCTGTCAGTGTAATTTGGATCTTCAACAGTCGACCATTGTCTTTCAGTCCAATTTCGATTTAGAACATATTTCTGTTCCTGTAATTAAATAAAAGTTAATTCAAAATAAAAAATAAATTTCCATTATGAAATTATAATGAATAATATTATTGCAGTTTGATAATATACTGAAATAGTAGAAATGAAATATCTCTATATTTATAGTGTTTATTTAAATTTATGTAAAATGTATATAATAAATATACCACTAATATTATTTGCCGAAATTAATAGATCATTTAAGATGCTTCTGATAATCTGTATGAAATTCAATTTGAATATAATAATTATAAAACTATGTTTTAAAAACAATTATATTTCTGAATGTCAGAAAGTTTCAGTTTTATGTTTTAATATATTTTTTTTTTATTAAATTCGATTAGTTTTGAAAATATTTGATTGAAATTATGACTTAAATAATATTTTCTATGATAATTATTGTCTCTTACAGATTTCCTCAATCCTTCTTGCAAAATGAGAGCGCTCTCCAAAGTTCTTTTTGAAAATTTATTTTTCACTCCAGAGGATTTAACGAGATATTTTGTAAGAGAGTGATCACCCAAATATTCATTATATCTTTCTCTCAGTTTTTTCCCAACATCATACATAGTTTCTTTACCTAACTGTAAAATAAAATATACATATAATAGTAAAACATAAATCAAATTCAATTATTGTGAATTTTTTGTTTACCTGTAATAGTTCACCTGGTTGGAATGTATATTTATTAAATCGTTTTTCATATTCCAAAGCATATTTATCAGGATAATGCTCACCATTTCGAACAATCTGCAAAAAAAATTCAAATAAAAACTAAACCATTATTTTTGGTTGAATATTAGTAAATTATATATATATATATATATATATATATATAAGATATCAATTAAAACTAGAAAATACATAATCAACAATAATTAAGTGTCAATAATAAATATCAATAATAATTTACAAATTCTTAAAGAGAATTTTTGATTCAACCAATTTAAATATATTTTCTATTTAATTAAAAAATTCAATTTAAATATTTATATTTAATCACTATGCTAATATTTTTTTAATTATATATAATGTATAGATGATATTAGTAAATTCATAAACTAAATAATTTTCAAACCAAATATTTACCGCAAATACTAATTTCAAATTAGATTCATTTAGTTCCAGTGTGAAAGCTGGATTATGAAACTCCACAGTTATCAACAAATATGCAAACAAGCTTATTTTGAGCATTTTTTGTTTATAAATATATTTATTTTAGATAATTTATGATTATTTATTTTAGATATATTATAATAAAACAAGTAGTTTTTAGATTCTAATTTTCAACTATAATTCCTAATTTTGTTCGCCGATATTTACCTATCAACAAATTTATTGTAGATTGTGCAAGCCGTTGTAAACAAAAATATCAATAATATTATTATTACAATAATATTTCTAAATTTATTAAAAGATACAAATGTTCCACTAGTTTTTTTAGTAATTGCGTCAATATTGCTGTCGTGGCAATAAATAATTCACACATTTGTTATTTGGTAATTTGCTGAGTTTTTTGTTGTTTAGCCTAGCATTTGTGCAAAAATAAAACATAAATAATTTCACTAGAGAAAAGTTGCTGCCTATATATAATATGTATATTACTTTTGCAAACTTGCATAACAGCAAATTTTGTAATAATGTATTGAACAAATATACGCGATTTGCAGATAAAGTCAATTATTACAAATGAGCAATAATAACGTATTCACGCTGTAGATAAAAGCGATTTTAAAGTAGGTAATGTGTTTCTGAATATTAGACAAAATTTCAAAGATTAGTTTTATCATTTGTAATATAAATAAAATCTCTTTGTATATTAATCAGCCTTGATATCTATTAAATTTAATTATTCAATTTAATTATAAGTAAATCTTTTTGCGTGCGATTGTTCAGAATCGTAACTTTTCTTAATGTGACATAAATTATGTTCAAGTTCACAAATAATTTGCATACACCTGTCCCCCGTTTTACACGGAAGTTACGTTCCAGAGAAAACCGTGTAACTCGAAAAATTCACTTTTATATGGAAAAACCGCGCTAAACAAAAATCACTATAAAAAAGCCGCTTTCATAACTTTTTAATATGATGAATAACTAATACATATATTGAACAAAAAAATAAATATTATTATTCTTAATATCAAAGAAATTTTATTAATTATAAGAAAATGAATTTATTTCAATAATAGATTATCTATAATAAATATTGCAATTTTCATTATAGATAAAAAGTGAAATTGGTTTGTATAGATATAACCTTTCTTTAACTCTCTAGTTTTATTTATTTTCATATTTGCCGATGTAGCACCATATGTTTTTTATATAAATCAATGAATTTGTAAAAAATGATTCTGTTATTTGTTCATCTTGAATAAATTAACGCTAACAATTAAAAACAAAGTTCAAAAAACAATGACGTTCTTTGTTTCAAACAAACTAGCTTATACATACAAAACATTTAGTACTGATCATAAAACGGAAAGTTCCCATCTCAATACATTTCCATCATAGACCACCAATTCGTAACTGTAACGTAGGTGTAGTGTTGTATTTTGACAGTAAAACAATAAAATGTTATTGTAAATATAAGCAAAATATTGTTCAGTTTTTATAAATTCAAATTTACATAATTTAAATTTAATAAATTGCGTTAGAAAAAAATATTTTCAAAAACCGTGTAAGATCGAAAAGTGTGAAACGAGTACCGTGTAATACGGGGGATAGATGTATCTGCGTTTTCTAACAATTATATTTAATAATTTTTCTAATATTCATAAGTTTCTAATAATTATAACATGCAATGCGTAACTAATGAATTGTGCAGAACTAATTTGTTTTAAACTTATATTTTAAGTTAAATTGAATATCTGAAGAATGAATAAAATACACGTTTTTAAATATTTATTAAACACCTTTTAAACTAGGCTATTTCTCCTAAAAGACAATAAGACTAAAAGTGGTACTTCAAAGACGTTTTTAATTTAGTTAATCTACTTTACAATTTCTAAATTTTATTACTTTTTCCAACTAGACCCTATATTGCACGCTTTTAGCCAGTCTTGCATATTAACAGCTAATTGTGAAGACTGCAATTTCTCCTTGAGTTTTTGGTAGCTACATGGATAAGTACAGTCGTTTATTTTTAACTCTTCAATTGGGCTACTTGTACTTCCACTAACAAAAACCTGATAAATGAAATATTACATCAATGAGATTTCTTCAATTAATGTGCTTTATGATTTATAGCTGTTCACATAGAAGTAGGAAGGACTAGCGTACTAATAAGTGTTGTCAAATTAATATGTTTAATTGTATTTAATACAAAACTAACTAAATATAAATATGCTTTAAGATTGCACCCAATAAGCTAATTTAATACAAAATATGTAAATAAATATGTTTCAAATAAAATGATTCAAATTCATTGCCAATTCAAAACCAAATCAAAATGATTTGTTTCAATTGACTCCATAATTATAAGATTTCAATCTTAATATCTGTGGCCAACTATAAAACAATTATGTGTTACATTTTTAATATAATTACCCTTAGCCAAAAGTCCTTATCGTTATCCAATTGATGTGCTTCGACTATCACCATACCGCCATGGAAAGGTCTGAAGCTATTCACAGTCACATTGACAACAGTTTCATTTTTTTCCGGTTCAATTGAGGCCACTTCATATGAATGGGTAAAGCCTTTGCTACCACCTAAGGCTGCCAAAAAGGGCGATACTGTTTTGCCATAGCCAACATTTACTAACATTCGTGTATCGCAAGGTTCTAATTTTCCATTAAGCTTGTCGTCCATTCTATCAATAAAGTATTGAAGCATACGACCTTGAAAAGGGATAGAATTAGCGTTTAGAATAAAATTTCGAACATTTTTTGAACAATATAAATTTATGTTTTAAAAATGGTACACGAAGAGTTTGGAATATGTGCTTTATTTTTGATTTTTTTTATGTTTCTGATAAAGTTTACATTGAGAAAAATTTAATTTTCCTATGTTCAAACTCGATGATAAACACGCGAGTGATTAAGTCCATAGAAAAACTATCGGTTGCATGTTACTCCGGTTACTACTAAATTCAATTCTTTATGATTTTCCAATTTTTGTACGTTTTGCTTTATATTCTGTACATTTGTTAAATGTTTGTGATAAATGACAATTGACTACAAACCTCCAGCAACAGTTTTTAAATAATCTGTTGAATATGATGCATTAACGTATTCTCGCATTAACTCATAGTAAGTATACCATTTGTTGTTATGTAGCCAATGAGGAAATCCAATACCACTCAGTTCCTAAAAAAATATATTTAGATATTAATTTGGTTATTTTCATCCTTATTTTCAATCAAATTTTCAAGAATATATTTCTTAATAATTTTTCAAATGAAACATTTACAGTATTTATAAAATTCAATTAAAATGTTCAAAAATTTGCAATTATACTCACGCTAGTTTCATATAATTCGAATAAGTATTGCAATTTTGACAAATTATTGTAATCCAAATCGGCTTTGGTATTTTCTTGTAAAGCTCTCCACAATCCTCCGAAGCCGGAGTCATTTTTGAATTTTGTGATTAAACTATCATACAAAGCCTTATTTTGTGCAGGCCGATACTCTTTACATTTTAAGTAATAGTCTGACGCCTAATAAATAAAAAAAACTTTTGACAAACTTTTAATTACATATAGTTTTAGAAAGATTAGCAGTATTAAATCATAATGATATAGTCAAACAATTCAGTAAAACTTTAAAAAACATGAAAAATAATTATGCAAATCATAAGTACTTATTTCATTAACAATATCAACGTGCCTTAAGTGAAATTGCTTGCACCTCATGTAAAATAACTTTAAATATGTAGAAACTTTAGAATTTTTTGAAATCATGGAAACAATTTGTTCTTTGAGGAAAATATGTATAATACATGTAACAATACAAACAAACACACACACAAACATATACACACATACATCAATTTTTTCTATTATATGCTAAAATGTTAAGAAGACTTTGAAACTTGAAGAAGATAGTGAACAATTGTTTAGCTTCGCAATAAAAAATATTGAGTAGCATTACGAAAAATATTTGCTTAATTCATGAAATATGTAAAAAGCAGGCAAATTATTAACTTTCCGTAAGAGAAGTTTATGTTTTTTTCAAAAAATCCGAATCGCTAATTTTATGTTTTCTCGACATTTCAATGCATTCTGAATCAAATGAGACCAAATTTGGAAAAAGTATGTGTTTTCTCAAAAACGATTCGACCGATTTCAAAAATTTAAAAGCCATCGATGTATTTCGCTGAGAACTAGCGTTTCTGAGTTTTGTGCGACGATCGTCCGAGCCGTTTCTTTGTAAATCGCAGAAAAGTGAAAATTTTTTTGTCTACGTTTTAGCCCGCAATTCTGAATCGATTTTGAAAATTCAAAAACCGTTCGAAAGATATTGGTTGGGAATCGTGCTGATTAGTTTTTGGTAGAGATCGACTGGGCCATTTTCTTGTGTTAAAAAGTTTTTTCGTCGATTTATATTATTATTTTTTTGACGATAGATACCATAGTCTTCTAGATCATACTAAAATATTACGGTCCTACGACAACTCGTTTAGCTTTAAAAATTCGTCAAAGTTTGCAAAAATTAGTATGGTCTTTTTGGCATTTGTCAAAATTAAAACTTTTATTGACGTTTACTCTGAACGCTGAACCGACTTCAAAAATTTAAAAACTATTTGATATATCTCGATGAGGATTATCGTTTCCCAGTTTTGTGCGACGATCGGCCGAGCCGTTTCTTTGTAATTCGGAAAAAAGCGTAAAACTTTTCGTCCACATTTAAGCTCATACTACCGAATCGATTTTATATATTAGTTGGGAATGATACTGATTAGTTTTAGGTGAAAATCTAGCGAGCCGTTTTCTTGTAATTAACTGTTGAAACAAAATTTAAGCCGATTTTAATGGAACTTTTTTGTTGGCGATATATATTATGGTCTTATAGAACTTACTGAAATATTACGGCCTTACGACAATTCGTTTAATTTTAAAAATTCATCAAAGTTTGAGAAAATGAGTGGTTTTTTGACGTTTTTTAAAACTCAAAATAGACGATTTACTTGGTATAACGATGGAGTACTTGGTGTTAATGAAAATACTAAACAATTAAAGTTTTACAAGAAACTGGCTCAATTATAAAAATTATTGATTTTTGAAAATTTGATTTTAAAAAATACTCCGACCGAGTTGACGTTGTCGATTTTCAATAATGTGTAATGTGTAATAAATCCACTTTGAATACTTTTAACTACTCATAACTTAATTTATCTATCATGGATTAAGTCGATTATTTACACAAATCGGGAAGTTCATGTAACTTGTCTCAAGGCAAATTACCAATAACCAACTAGTTAAAATGTGTTGCCAGAAAAATGTGGCGGCTACATATTATTAAATTAATAATTAAAATTGTAATGCCTACTTACAGCATTAGTAAACTCGTCATTTCTAGTTGAAGCCAATTTTCTTGTAGACCATTTTCTTTTCAAGCTATGCTTTTTATTCTGTTGAAGAGAGATTTATATTTTTATACAACTTATTATGGATTTATCTAAGTATTACAAAAAAATCTCGAACTTTGCAAGATAATTAACTTTTAATAATTATTAAAAGTATTCTAAATATTATCTTCTTTTTTCTTACTTCATAAAAAATTTCAAATTATTTCAATAAATAAAAAAAAAGATCAAGACAACTTTTTGTTCGATGATGTAAAATTTACATTGTAAATTATGAAGGTTTCACTTATTGTTAGTATAATCAAGATATGCATTTACTTGCAACGTCTTTGGAATGTGAGACAAATAACAAATTAATACTATGATAAATAAAATTCCAAATCAAAGTTTGGGTTTGGTTTTGATATAGCACCTACAAGTTAAAAATATTCTATTTTCTAATAAAATTTCTAAAGTGAACTAGTATGTAGTGAGTTAAAATATCAGTAATTATTATTATATTACCTTTTGTCTAAGTGCTGCTCTTACAATTAAGGCACTTTCCCTTGAATTAACAGTAAATTTACTTCCAACAGCAGTAACCTTTACTAAATGTTTAGTGACGTAAGATCTGCTCAGGAATTCCGGATACCAGTGTCTCAGGTTTTCACCAGCTTCGTACATAGTAAGTCTTCCTAGCTAAAAGTATAAACATTAGTTTATTTATTTATTCTTAAATGTATACATTAAAAAAATATATTATTTTTTTTTAAAAAAACTTCTTATTTAATTTGCAAAATAATTTAGATTTAGTTATCTCTAGTCTAATTCAGATTATTTGTACTCAATTTAAAAAATAATAATGTATATTATGTATTTCAAAATTAGTTATCTGATATTTTGGGACAACGCTAATCATTACCATTTTGGCAAATACCACAAAAACATTACCACTTTTTATATGACTACATAGGCCTAAATTTTCTTAAGATGAAGATACTATGTAGTCTTTAAGGCATTACATTAATTTATCGATAAATTTAGAAAATACTGAAATTAAACTGCAAAATAATTAAGATTTAGTTGTCCCTGGTCTAGTTCAGATAATTTGTACTTTAGTTAAAAAACAATTTAAACTAATAAAAAATGAGTTAATTGGATTTTGAGATAAAACTTGACTTGACGTGATCTTGACTTAAACTTGAATTAACAAGTGCCTTCTTTAAAACTTATACCTCTTTCTCTCGAAAAAAAAATATAAGAGAGATAGACAAAAATCTTGAATTTTTGCACATAACTATGTGTACTTTAATCATTGATTTTTTCTTGAATTTATAATAAGAAAACTTTCACAATGAATTGAAAAATAACTCTATTATATTATTACAAAAGTAAATACTTGCCTTTGTCAATTCCCCACGAGGGAATTTGTAATGCTTCCATTCATAACTAGGATTTGTTTTTATCATGTATTCATCAGGAAAACTTTCGCCATTTTTCATTACCTTTAGTAAAATTTATTCAAAATTTTATTTAATAAAAAACTATATAATATTTTGTGAATTCTTACCACAAATACAAATTTTAATGTCAAAGGATCTTTCAAATCTTCTATTTTCGGCACATTTTTTACATTCTGATTTGGATCCTTAACAGATTCTGGAGCACTGAAAACCAACAAAAAATTTGATAAAAACACATAAAAAAGAGCATACATATTTTACAAACTATCTGTCATGCATAGAAAATAGAGTATCAAAATTATGATGTCTTCATGTAATAAATAAATTATATTGACGCATTTGAATTTTGAAATATCTACTCAAATATACAATAATTGAATTAAAGAAGAGAAAATTACATCAATCGATATATAGAACAAATATTTGCGTAATTGAGAAATATAGATTTCAACAATTTGATTTGTATTCGAAAATTTCTAAGTTCATTATCACAAAATATGACAAAGATTTGAAAAATTTTTGAAATTTGGTTTTATACATAAAAAAATATGGTACAAAATAATACTGTGTCTTTTCCCACTCTTATACACATGCACAATATATATATATATATATATATATATATATATATATACACTTTGGTTGATTCAACGAAATTATCTGGCTTATCCTGTTCATATTTTAATTTTGTTTAAATAATGATTAAAAATAATTTTACTTTTGCATGCAGAATATTAAAAAATTATTAATTTAAATAAACTATTTTGATATGTTATTAATTATCTTTTTCCAATCTTATTGAATCATGAAAATTTATGAGTGGATACTTTATTGAGTAAATAAGTACTAAATTTTGTTAAGTTTAATACTAGAGTATTTTATTTGTATATTAATTTCAGTTTCTCGTAAATTGCTAACTCTGGATATAAAAATATCTAGGTATTTGAAAAGTAAGTTAGTATTTCTGTATTATTTTTGAGTTTGTATATATTCTGCTAAAAGTGAGTTACGTTTGCAAAAGATTTTTTTAACAATTCGATGAATATCGATTTAAATTTTAGGCTTCCTATAGCCGTTTGTAATTTCTGAATATTATTACTGGAAACAGTTCTGTATAATACTGAAAAACTGTTGATTATATTATTAAATTAAGAACAAAAAAAATTGAGAATTTCAACCATTCCTAAATCGATTAAATTTAGTTTTGCGAAGAAACACTTGTTTAGTACAAAACTATACCTTGTTAATGGTAAACTTAATTATTTTATTTTAAATCATATGCCACAGTCAAAACGCAGAGCTAGTTTCGTAACATCGACTATTTTGCTGTTTATTAAATTACGTCAACTAAATCAACGTCAATCTAACGCAAATATTACTTATAAATATACCATGTATACTCCCTTGGAAAATTTAGCTCCGTAATTACTGTGATTATAAAGCAGCAATTCGAAGATGTGGTATTCAAAGTTTTTATATATATGTGCACTTATTACATTTATTAATGGTGATGACAAAAACCCAAAGGAAATTGCACCTAAAGTGCCAAAGCTAAAATTTGTATTTATTGTAAGTAATAAAATTATTCATTAATTTATATAGCCACTATATTTTACTACTATAATTCATATAGTAGATTGCAATATAAAAAATGTACTTAATCTTAAGAATACGTTACAGTTATACAAATTTAAAAAAACGCTAGTGTATTAATAAAGTATAAATACATGTAAAATTAGAAGGATAGAGTTTATCAAAATCAAAAAATAGGGCGTATGGACTCAACATTTTTTTAATGAAACCATGTATAGTACAATCATGTTTTTTCTTCCAGTTTTCAATCATTTGTTAGAATATTAGATTCAAAAATTTTAACCTGAATAAAATAAATTTTCTTTTTTCTAAAAATATTTTTGTTCTCAATAATATTAAATTTTTATCGTAAAAATAAAAATTGGTATTCACAAATTAAAAAACTATACATATTTTCAATTTAAATCATTTATATAAAATTAATTTTAAAAGCAAGAAAATATGTTTCAAATATTAAGTGAATAAAAATAAAATTATACTTTTATTAGTAGATTTAGTATTTGGGAGTAAATGCAATAAAGAACACAATGAAATAGTTAATTCTCTCAGAACAATTAATCAATACTTTCATTGTGCTTAAAATTTTACATTTCAGACCGTAAGAGGCCCTGCACATTGGCCTTGTGATTATCCCGGAGGGCCAACAATTTTCGGAAGATCTGAATTCACTAGTCGATTGAGTTGGGTACGTTAGAAATGAAAAAATGTATTAATTAGAATTATATTTATTTGATTTGCTTTATCATTTTCTAGCGTGGAAGAAACGATGCTTATGATTATGGAGTCGAAATTGGTGAAATGTATAAAGAGAAGTTTAATATAGAACAATGGAACAAAACTAAATACTTGAGCTTAGCTAGTGGTTCTCCCAGAACTCAGCAAGCTGCATTAGTTTTAGCAGCCGGATTGGAAAATAAGGTAAATCATATGAAAATAAAAATTATTTGTGTAAGTTTATTGCAAAAGAAATTACGTAAATAAAAATATAGCTATTCTACTTTCTAAATGAATTCGTAACTCTTTGTATTAATAAAGTCCCAAGTTTAACCCCGTGGTAATCATCCAGTCAACCTTAACAAAACCTATCTCTTTCTTTCAGAGGTACAAAAAAGATCGTATATGGTCCTTAGAAAAAAAGAAGACTACTCAATTTCCAGCAATGCAGGAGGTACATATATAATAATAATAATTGAGATAAATACTCACTAAATCATTTTATCATCATCTCAATGTTTTCAGTATCTCAAATTTTATAGCAAAGAACAATGCCCAAGATTTTTACAAGAAGTTGAAAAGAATTATCCTAAAACAAATCGTGGATCAGACGTCCTAAAAGCTATAGTCATTCTGAAGAAAAAATTGACACGAAAAACAACTTCTATCAGAACTCCAGAAGATATCTGGCTAGCATACGAATCGTTATATAATGTGGTATGTAATAATAAATTCCAAGATCGAGACTTATGCTATTAGTATAATAATTAATTGATATTTTTGCAGTTTTATTCATATGGAAAAAGATATCATAATAAAATGAAGTATTGGAGACAAATTCGAAACGAACTTAAAAAATATACACAACAATTTATGTGGTCTTCTTTGACATCAGATGATACCCTCAGGAAATTAGCTTCAGGTAATATTAGAAACAATTATTTATAGCATTCATCTTTTTTTAAAGGTATGAATAATTGTTTATTTGATAGTATTCGCCATAAAACCTTAGATTTTTGGACTTTGAAATGTACAATATTATTGCATTATATTTTTTACTTCAGGATTTTAACTTTTGTATGCTAGTAAGTAAATTTTCAGTTAAAATTTATATATAGAAAAATAAGAATTTAATAAAATAATTGGAGTAACAAATAAAAAAAATTAGTATTCAAACACAGTAATATGACTGAATGACTACTTAAACTAGCTGTAAGTGGAATGCTGGAACTTCCCGTACCAAAAATTATTATTTTTTTAAAAACGATTAACATTTTTGAAAAAATTGTACTTCAAAAAAAAAAATAGATTTTTGAGAAACTATAAATTTGACAAAAAATTACTTTTTTTTAAAAAAAAAAATTTTTTTTTTGGAAATAAATTTTTTTTTGAAAACAAAAAATTTTTTTGAAAAAAAATGTTTTTTTCATTTTGACATATTTTGGAAATTCTGAACTTTTTTTCAAAGCAATCGCACTGCTTGAACTGCATAGAGACGAAATGTCAAAGCTCGCAAGTGCCGCGCCGCCGTCTAACGCATGAGCATTGGTACGGAACCCATGTAAATGTGAAAAAAAATTATACTTATTGTTAAAATCTCTATAAAATATCTGATAATTTAATGTGCATATGTCTAATGATCATTTTTAACCGCCGAATGGCATTTTTTTTTACTTTTTTCATTAGATCTCCGAAACCGCTAGACTTGCCTTCATGAAAATTTGATCAATTCTACATCTTGTTAATACAAGTAAAATTTTTTTTGAATTATTCAAATCGGACGCTCCGTTCTCTTAAAAACGGAGGTACCGTTTTTGGCGCTTTTTGCCCCGTATCTTCGGAACGGCTAGACCTGCCTTCGCCAAAAACTAATCAGCACGTCTCCTTATCAATACAAATCGAATATTTTTTAAATTATTCATATCGGTTGATCCGTGTTCCCGGAATCGTCGACGAAAATTTGTATCCGCACATACATACACACACGTACATACATACATACATACACACACACACACACACACACACACACACACACACACATACATCCATTTTTTCTAAAGTATGCCAAAATGTTCAGAAACCTCTGAAACGTAAAGATATATAAAAATTTTCATTTTCGATTTTTTTGCGATTACTATAACTTGCCCTACGGGAAGTTAAAAATAAACCAAATAATATAAATGATTATCAGGTGCTTTAATGCTTTATCAGGTCCTATAGTTTTTGATGTTTTGCGAGATATCAACTACATAAGGGGTAATCATTCAGAAAAAAATAATCTGGTACCAAAAGATAATAAACCGGCACCAGAAAATAATGAGATGGCACCAAAAAATAATGAACGTGTGTTATCAATACTTACGGTTCCACAAGGAGTATTTGCAGCTTTAGTAACAGGATTTGCCCCAAATGGTACGACACTAGACGGAAAATTATTTGATGCTGATGATTTGTATCCAGAGCATGGTGCAATGCACATAATTGAACTGTATCATGTAAATGATGATAAATGGCAAGTCAAGGTAAATGCTGCACATAAATATATTTTTTAAGTTATCATGAAATTATTATTTTATTATTATCCAGTATATCCAAACGTGTTTTTTTTTAATAGATACTTTACAGAAATAAGAAGGATGATTGTTTAAAACCCTTGCGCCTGCCAGGATGCAATAGAAACGAAAAGCTGCGGCCAAATTTTTGTACTCTGAAGCAATTGAAGGATGCAGTGAATGGAACTTCTTTAGGACCAATAAAACATAAAAAGCTCTGCATGCAAGAAAGTGCTTTAGAATGATTAAGTGATGATAAAAATACATAACAATGAATAATTTATAAATATTATGTAATAATTTATATTATATCAAAATAATAATAATAACAAATGCTCCGACCATACTTATAATTCAATGTTATAATATGAAACAAATCCAATTTTGATTTTTTAATACATAGACATTATGTATAAGATGCTATTTTAATTCTAATTTGTTAGAATGCCACTAAAATATTTGCAACTAACTTATTTGCGATTGGTATAGTACAGAAACCTCAAAACTTATATTTTATAGGTATTTAAGAATAATTATTAGAATATGCTGATGGAACAACAGATGAATATCCGACAGTTTTAATATGCTTCAAAAAGACTGACGTATACTCACACAATAATAATTATATGTTTTATATTGGGTTACATATTTTTTAATTAAAATTTAAATAAATTGTCTTTTGTCTATCAACAAACATAGCAGCAAAAACTTTAAAAATTGCAATTTTGTTTGTTTGCGTTAAGTACGTTAAAGGACAAAAAATAATAAAAATTATATTTAAAATCTTTACATATTTTCCAATTATAACCCACTTGCACTTTAAATACTTTTAAACATACTAAATGATTTCAATACTTAAAGTACAGAATATATAAATAAACACAAATCAAATATTAGATCAGGTAATAATAGTGATATAAATCTTAATATATTATATTATTTTTTAACTTTTCTAAAAAAATGCTCAAAATGTTTGTATTTTTTCAGAAATTCTGATACAATAATGTTGTTTTCTCGAGTTTCAAGTCCTGGGGATCATTTGATATAAAAATTGAAAAAACTGTGCATGTGTACATGTGAAATCAACATATGTTTTGGCGATTTCAGAAACTCTATGAAAAATAGCATTGTTTCCCGTAGGGTAAGTTATTGTAATGGGCCGAAAATCGAAATTGAAAGTTTTTACATTTCTCGACGTTTTGAAGGTTTCTGAACATTTTGGCATACCTCAGAAAAAATGGATGTGTGTGTATATGTATGTATGGATACAAATATCCAGTCACGTTTTCGGGCGCACGGATCAACCGATTTGAATGGTTCAAAAAACATTCGATTCCTATTGATAGGGAAAAGAGCTGATTAGTTTTTGGCAAAGGCAGGTCCAGCCGTTACGGAGATACGGAGCAAAGAGTGCAGAAAATAAAAATCGAGTTTTTGAGTGAACGGAGCATCCGATTTAAATGATCTAAAAAACATTCAATTAGTAATGATTGGGAGAAGTGATTATTAGTTTTTGGCAATGGCAGGCTCAGCCATTTCGAAGATACAGAACTAAATGTGCAAAAAATGGCAGTCTTTGAGAGAACTAAGCGTCCAATTTAAATGATTCAAAGAACTTTCAGCTCGTTTTAACAAAATAATTGATTTTGGAAAAAAATTGTATCATTTTTTTTGTATATCGAAAATAGTTCAAATTTTATTTTTAATTCTGACCAAAGTTCTAATATACCTTAAACAAATAATTTCATTTTTGCAATTCAGTTTATACAATTCTTATAAATATTAGACAATGTTACAATATTTGTAATAATCTATTTGAAAACATTCAATATTTCTCGAATATTTCGTTACGGTACGGGAAGTTCCAGTAATTTGCCTTAAGGCACGATACCATACACCCCACTAGTTTAGTTTTGCGTAATCAGTAGAGTTTTTCATTTTTCAATTTATTTTTCAGCTTCATCTAACAGTTTATTGAAAATTTATTATCAATTATCAATATAATTTATAATAAAATTTGTTTATATTCAGAATTTGCTTAGCACAAAACCAAAAAAAAATCTGAATCGGTTATAATTCAAATAACAGATAAACATTAAATTTTTTATGTTTACCAGATTATCTTGACGCATTTTAAAATGTCAATCAATTTGATGTAGTGCGAATATAGGACGAGTCATTTTTTTAATAATTTTTTTTAATTTCAGTTTCACTAGATAATAGCAAAGCTATTTCAGAATCATTTGAAAATGACACTAGTTTAACTGTAACTTATTAATTTTGTTTTTGTTTATGTTTGGTTTTAAAAAATTAAACTAAAACTGTTAAATTTTAACAGTTTGCGATTTTCATTAGCATTTGCAAGTTTTGAGTAGGATATGCTCAAACTCATCTTTATTAATTTAATTATTCTCTATATCTTGAAGTTTATGCAATTTATTCTAGATTCAGGTCTCAAATATTATTCTTAATTAATCAATAGCAGTAATTGAAAATCATTTATAAAAATCAGACCAAAGAAACATATTAGTGGCTCATGTGCGTTATTTTACACTATTCTAAACTATTTTACACAGTTCTGAATTTTTGGATTGTGGTCGACATATTATATATGCTTCAGTTTATATTAATGATTTGCATATTGAAAAATAGTAAGTAATTAAGAAATGAGTACTTAAAGCATTTATTTCAGTTTAATACTGTAACGATAAGTTAAAAGAAGTTCACGGTCAATAGACCATAACTATATAGTTTGTTAAAGTTACACATAATTATGTATTATATATTATTCAAATTGTCGAACTGAGTTTTGCAACATTGAATATTTTGTTATTAATAAATTTACACCAACTGAATCAACAACAAACCAACGCAAATATAACTTATATATACAATGTAAGTACCATTGGAAAATTTAATTTTGCAATTTCTAAGATTTTAAATGCAAAAATTCGAGGATGTGGTATTCAAAGTTTTTATGTATATGTGCACTTATTACATTTATTTATTGCAAGGACGAAAACCCAAAGAAAAATGTAGAACCGAAGTTGAAATTTGTATTTGTTGTAAGTAGTATTTATTCATTATTTTCTATAGCCAAATAGGCAGCATTATCAAATTGAATGTAACTTAAAGATACATTTAATTGTAGACATACTTCTAACAAAATATTGTAATAAGATATCTTTCATTCTTTTGATTCATCTAAATTTTAGATTTTCAAAAACTTCAATCAAATGTAGTTCAGTAACCAATAAGTTAATATTTCTCATAGTAGAAAGAATTTTTTTATAAGAAAATGAATAATTTATGTAAGAACGGTAATTCGAATTTGGAAATTTGATTGTATTTTTTCTATTTTTGAAATTATCTTTAATTAAATTTTTTTCTCCAAAATATTATTATTTTATTAAATCAAATCAGAGTTAACAAAGTAAGAATTAAAAATATGAACCATTGATGAATAATCTTTTTTAAAGCCAAAATGCTATCATCTCCAAATTCAATACTAATTTAGATAATAGAAAATTATTTTATTACAATGTTTAGTATTCATCTTATATAAACCTTAAGGGTTGTAACATATCATAGTTCGATATATGAAGAAATAATTAATTTTCTTGGGAGCAAGTTATCTTGTAAAGAACAATTAAGAAATACTTTAATAATTGTGGATAATATAATTAATAATTAGTAATATAGATAATAATTAATATTTCAGACTGTAAGGGGACCAGCACATTGGCCTTGTGATTATCCCGGAGGGCCAACAATTTTCGGAAGATCTGAATTTACTAGTCGATTGAGTTGGGTACGTTAAATATTGAACAATTCATTAATTAGAATTATATTTATTTGATTTGATTTATCATTTTCTAGCGTGGAAGAAACGATGCCTATGATTACGGTGTAGAAATTGGAAAAATGTACAAAGAAAAGTTTGGAATAAAAAAATGGACCAAAGATAAATACTGGAGCTTTGCCAGTGGTTCTCCCAGAACTCAACAGGCCGCATTGGTTTTAGCAGCCGGGTTGGAAAATAAGGTAAGCATGGGCAACTATATAGTAAAACAATGTTTTTATAATTTTATATACAAACAATAAAATATAAACTAAAACACCTTGTATCACATATACGACATATTCTTGCACTCATAATCGTTATAAAATGATAAAACTATAATCAATTGTAGAATTATATTCTGATTTAAAATTAACATTATCCATAAAAATAATCCGAAATGTACATTCTCATAGTATTTTTTCACTCACGCCTATTACTAATTTCAATTCAATTTTATTAACACAAAAACTACCGATTAAGTATTGCACATATTGTAAGACTTAGTTGTGCAAAATTTTATTCATTAAAATTAATTTTCTTTGAAGTATTTATGAATTTGTAATGTTAAACTATTTGTCAGTGTTTGTAATTGCATTACCCTTTATCCATGAATTTAGAAATATCATTTGTCGAATGACATGAGTAATATTAAAATACAAGGTTTAAATATAGTTATTTGGTCAATGGAACAGTTTTCTATTCTATTATTATATTTATTCTTATGTTTTTTTAACTATTGTTTTTCTATTTATTTATTATTATTATTATTATAGTTAGTTTTTTCCTTTACTTTACGTTATAGATTTGTTCAGATTATGTTCTCACTGTAGTTCATAGAATTACTTACTCTATTCTGATTGTTACATGCAAATTTAATAAAAAAAAAACGTAATTTTATATCATTTAAGTTAAACCAGTCACTTGCTTTCAGAGGTATAAAAAAGATCGTATATGGTCTATAGCAAAAAAGAATTCTACACAATTTCCAGCGATGCAGGAGGTACATCTACAATTTAGAATACTTGAGACAATTAACGATGTCAACTTATAACTATTTCAATGCTTTCAGTATACCAAATTTTATAGTGCAGAAAAATGTCCAAGATTTTTCCAAGAACTTGAAGTAAAATATCCCATTATAAAAGATGAAGTCATAAAAGCTATAGCCGTTTTGAAAGAAAAAATTGTACCAAAAAGAACTGCTATCCAAACTCCACAAGATATCTGGCTAGCATACGAATCGTTATATAACGTGGTATGTAATAATATTTAAATTTAATGACATGTGTATTATAAAATATCAATCGAATATTTTTTTTTAGTTTTATTCATATAGAAAAAAAAATTATCGCAAAATGAAGTACTGGAAACGAATTCGAAGCGAACTTAAACAATATTCGAAACTGTTTATGTGGTCTTCTTTGACAGCAGATGAAATACAAAGAAAACTGGCTTCAGGTAACTCTATAAAAATTAGTATTCTAATTTTGTAGATAATAAAACCAGTATAATATAAAAGGATTTAGAATATCATAATCCCGATTAGATTCCAAAAATATCAATAGATTGATTGATACTTCTTCTTCAACAGGGCCTATTGTTTATGATGTTTTACAAGACATACAGAATTTAGAAATAAGAAAGGACAATTTTTAGAACCAGAAAATAATGAACGTAGATTATCAATACTAACGGTTCCACAAGGTATATTTGCAGCTTTAGTAACAGGATTTGCTCCAAATGGAACTACTATAGATGCAAAACTATTTGATCCTGACGATTTGTATCCTGAGCATGGTGCAATGCACATAATTGAATTATATCAAACCATTGATAATAAATGGCAAGTCAAAGTAAGAATTACTAAACCTTGCAAAAACAATTTGTTCTTTTATAAAATTAGTATTCTGTTGTTTTTATACCTTATTTTTTAACTCGCTTTGAAATATGGGTCTATAGAAATATGCTTTTTAACAGATACTTTATAGAAAAAAGAAGAAAGATTGTTTGAAAGCTTTGCGTCTGCCAGGATGCAATAAAAAAGGAAAGCTGCCTCCTAATTTTTGTGCGCTGAATCACTTGAAAAGTGCTGTGAACGAAATTTCTTTAGAACCAGTAAAACACGATAAACTCTGCAAGGATCCTGCAGAATTTTATAAATAAATCACTTATGCAATTAATTTAAATGTTTCACATTACTTTGTAAATCAAAATCTTCTACGATACCAATAGTACAAAGTCATAATATAGGCCAAAAACTTTCTTGATTGTATAATACAGAGACTATGTACATATGCTAGATATATTTACTGACATTCATGAGCACAATTTCGTAGAATTGTTGATCAATCATTTTTTTGCAAATTGATTTTGAATAAATGTAAAATATATACAATCATATTCTAATTTTATTTATTAAACTAATTGACATGTCCCTGTTACCATATTTTGCTAATAATATTGACGAGTTTGGAAACAGTAATTAATTAGTAAGTATTTCAATTAATTATTATTACAGTTAATTATGTTAATTTGTAAGTAAAATTTTGCATATGGTACAATTAAAATTAATATATAAATCACCATTTACACGTTTTTATAAGTAAATTTAATTCAATATTTTTTCAAATTTGTTTTATCTTAGACATGATATAAGTAAACTAAATAAAATATCCATTGAGTATTACAGAGTCAATATTAATAGCAATATGACTTAAATATTTCAAATATACCTAGTACTTCGAAATAATTTAAGCATTTTCTAATTCGATCTAATATTTCGTATAGCTAAATTTTATTTAATACATAATGGCACAAATATACAAATAATATTGATTGAGTAACACAAAAATTAAAACATGCAATAATTCAGACTTTTGCGTCAACATCTATTTTCAAAATACATTGGACGTCAAAAATTACACAAATATATCTTATAAATACAATGAACTTTTATGTAAATTTTGTAGTTTTCTTGTTGTAGTTCATAGTGATGTTGTCGTTTGTGGTATAATAAGAATAATGATACTTTTAGAAATTTTATTTATATGTGTACTATTTGCAATTGGAAAGTGCGAAGAAATGAAAAATAATGTTGACCCAGTAAAGCCGGAATTAAAATTTGTTTTTGTAGTAAGTGTACTAAAAATCTATATTGTAGGGGGAAGTCCCGTAACGCCGGACGGCACCAAACACCGGACACTCTGTTTAACACGTATTATTTAAGAGAGTATAAATCTTTTCATTTCAAAATGCACTTGAATAAAGTTTTGATTGACAAAAAAAATCAAAATAGAAGTGAAAGGGGTACGAGGGGCACGCAGGTACAGAATCACGCGCCAAATCTTGCCTGTGACGCACACGGCAAGAGCAACCCTTTTCTGTTTCAGGCGCAAAATTACGGCGCAAAATTACCTAAAAATCAATGGAAGTAATTCTAGCATTCTATTTATGCATTTACATTTGAGTGGTATGCAAAGATAAAAGTTGTACTTGATTGTTAGCATCCATAAAATGGTAGATTATTATTAGAGCTTTTAACAAATTTTAGTAGGTGCCACCAAGTAAACAAAAATGTTTGCCCCTTAGCACCGGACACTAAGTCGTCCCTTTGTGCCAGACAGTACATTGATATTTTTTGTGAGAATTTACGTAATTTATTCCAATTATTTAATTTTGTTCTGTATGAGCTAACGGTCACTACATACCCCCATTCTTCGTATTTCCTATTCAAAGAATGAAAATTTTATGATGAATGCTCTAGCTGAGAGCATCGGTGTGGTCCAGCCAAAAGGGTGGTTAAATAGTGATTTTTTGCGATATCTAAGAATATTCGTCAAAAACACATGTAATTATTCCAAAGTGTGGAGACGACTACATATGTGAGCAATGCAGTTATTTTGAAATGTCCGGTACTGGGTGCCACTGTTTAAAATATTTTTTGATAACAAAGTTTGATTGATAGTATTAATTATTGTTTAGCAAAGATTGCGTTTTTGTTAATTTAGTTTGATTTTTAACTTTGTTATCTAACATAAATCATAAATTAATAAATATTTCGTAAAATATCTTTTGGTTTATTTATAAATAACCTTAGGTGTCCCCGGGAAGTCCGTAAGGGAACTTCCCCCTATACACAAAACAAATTTATATATACATATATATATATATATATATATATATATATATATATTATACAAGATAATTTGAAAGTGATACATTGGTAAATTAATTACAAATGGGTTCAACTAAAAAATAGAGAAAAAATATAGTATAAATTGGAAATGAACCAATAATCACAACACATGAAAAGTTTTGAAAATTCAAAATTTAAATTCATAAAGTTTAATTGAAAAAAAAAATCAACGATTAAATCAAAATATCTGTACTGATATCTTACGAACTATAGTTTTAGGACTAAGATTATGTGCAACAACTTGGACTGAAAGTATTTTATTGAAATTATTTTTATTTATTTTTCAAATAATTGTGCAGAATATAATATTTTGCAATTTTGATATGTGTTTTTTAAAACTAATATTGTTGTTTCCCGCAATGAACAAAAAGATGTTGAAATTAAAATTGTTTTCGCGGTTGGTTTTCAGATATCAACGCGTTGAATAATGTTTTTGTATTAAAATTCTTTATTTATCAACTATCTCTGATAATGTGAATTAAGTATGTATATGTAAAAATATGGTAAATATATGTTAATTTACTAGACTGTCCGAGGAGCTGCACATTGGCCATGTGATTACCCAGGAGGACCTGTTATCATAGGAAGACCTGAACAGAGTAGTAGGCTAAGCTGGGTAAGCCTACCCCAACTACTTTATTCTATCACTAAAATATTGCATATATTTAATAACAATTTTTATTTTTTTGTATAAACATGAATACTAACGGGCTTAGTACTAAAATTATCAAATTAATAACATTTTTAGCGCGGTAGAATTGATGCATATAATTATGGCGAAGAGATAGATGACCTTTACAGATATAGATTAGGAATTCAAAAATGGAATAAAACTAATTACTGGTCTATTGCAAGTACTTCACCTAGAACCATCCAGGCAGCGTTAGTGTTGGGAGCAGGATTAGAAAATAAAGTTTGCAAAATCATTGATTTATTAATAAATTTATAGTTTTTTATAGTATAGTTATAACCAATTAAGTAATCAGCTGAAGTGAATAATTGACTTCAAAACATAATTTTGTAGATATGAGCTATTAGTTAAATTAATATAAAATTAATAATATATTTTATTATATTTTGAAGTACCTATCTAATCATATTGCGAACAATTTCAGCCGTACAAAATAAATAGAATATGGTCTGAAAAAAGTAAAGAAAGCACACAATTTTCCGCGATGAAGCAGGTTTGTATGACAAGGAACTGAGATATATTAAAATATCGAAATGAGTTACTAATTTGTCCAAAATCATGCAGTATTTAAGATTTTACAATAAAGATCAGTGCCCTGCATACTTAGAAAATGTTTTTAGTGAGAGACGCCAATTCAAGGAAGTCGATGAAGATTTCATGAAGGCTGTTAGTATTTTCGAAAAAGAATTATCCAAGAAAAAGTTGGATGTTTATAAAAGACCACAAGATGTCTGGCTTACATATGAGTCTATGTTTAATGTGGTAAGTAAACTATATTTAATATTAACATTTTTATTTTATAATACCACTAACTAATATTAATATTTTAATAATGCTTATAATAAATTTGTTTTATAGTTTTATTCTTATAAGAAAAAATACCCACATAAGCTGAAATATTGGAAAAAAGTACGCAAAGAATTTAAGGAATTTTCTCAACAATTAATGTGGACATCATTAATCGGCAGTAATCGTCTACGAAAACTGGCATCAGGTTAATGATTTGTGTTTTAATACAAAACTAAGTTATACAATCTACAGAAAACTAAATTAATTGAATTTGACTTTGAATTTTGAATTCATTTATCAGAATTGTGATTCAATAAATATATCATATATTATGCTAAAAGCAAAATATATGAACAAAAAATTGAAAGAACACACCTCCATTCCTACTATAATAACCTATAAGTTCATGCATTTTTACGAAACCAAAACTATATAATTTATAACGTCTAGAATGAATATGTATGGATATTTTATTAATATTTTTTATTTTACTTTTATAATAATCTCGAAAAATTTCGAAATCATTACAGGTCCCATAACATATGATGTAATCAATGACATGGATAAATTAACAAACAATAAACCACAACCCAATGCACCGGGAAAAGATAAAAATAAACTATCAGTTTTAACAGCACCTCAAGGAGTTTTTGCAGCATTAGTTACTGGATTTGCTCCAAATGGAACCACAATTAATGGAAAAGAATTTTCTGCTTCCGACCTCTATCCTGAACATGGTGCTATGCATGTAATAGAACTTTACAAAGAGGGAGAAAATTCATGGAAAGTGAAGGTATATATAAGAAAATAGAAGTATTTCGATATTAATCACATCACTTGTCAAAGCATTTATCTAAACTTTTTCAAAAAAATCTGCTATAGTTTTATGGCTGTGTCATAAAACATTATCGAACTAGTCAATTTTCAGGTTACATTTTTTATGAGGTAAAAATAACCATATAAAATAACATTGATAAAAAGTGAAAAACAACAACAATTTTTTTTTCATAATCTCCATATTTTCATATCTATTTGCATAAGAAAACCTTAACTGTTTTTTCGATCAATTTGAATAAATAATAAAAAAAACATTGAATTTTACATTATATAAAAACATAAAATATATCATTCAATTCTAATTCCAGATACTATACAGAAATAAAAAGCACGATTGTTTAAAGATTGTTAAAGTGCCTGACTGCAAACACGAAGATCTATGTGAATACAATACGTTTAAAAATTCACTTAAAGCTATCAGGATGACAGATGAAAACCATCAGAAACTTTGTCACAAGTCAGATTTGGAATAAAATTAGAAAATGGTGTACTTTCATTTTATGTAATTTATTAACTAGGAATTAATGCGTTAACTTAAAAATAAATCAAGCAAAATGAGTATCTTACATTAAGTAATTTAAAAAAAGATATTTTTATTTGTCTTCATTTCAGGTAAGATGTAAATAAATTAATGTAAAAAAATGTAAAAGA